TCTGTCACTAGTCACACCCTCCCTCACTCTGTCACTAGAGTGAGGGGATGACTGGTGACAGAGTGAGGGAAGGGGTGACTAGTGGCAGAGTGAGGGAAGGAAGGGGTGACTGGTGAGAGAGTGAGCGAATGACTGGTGACAGAGTGAGAGAGGGGAACGACTAGTGACAGAGTGAGTTAGGGGTGACTAGTGACAGGGTAAGGGACGGAGGGGGTGGCTAGTGACAGAAGGAGGTGGTGACTAGTGACAGAGTGAGGGAGGTGGTGACTAGGGACAGTCACCACCTCCCTCACTCTGCCACTAGTCACCCCTTCCCTCACTCTGTCACTGTTCACCCCCTCACTCTAGTGACAGAGTGAGGAAGGGGGTGACCAGTGACAGAGGGAGGGGTGACTAGGGACAGAGTGAGGGAGGTGGTGACTAGTGACTTGTGACAGTCACCACCTCCCTCACTCTGTCACCTGTCATCCCCTCACTCTGTCACTAGTCACCCCTTCCTTACTCTGTCACTAGTCACCCACTCCCTCCCTCACTCTGTCACTAGTCACCCCCTCTCTCACTCTGTCACCAGTCATTCCCTCACTCTGTCACCAGTCATCCCTTCCTTCCCTCACTCTGCCACTAGTCATCCCTTCCCTCACTCTGTCACCAGTCATCCCCTCACTCTATCACCAGTCACCCCTTCCTTCCTTCACAGTGACAGAGTTAGGGAGGGAGTGACTAGTGACAGTGAGAGGGATGGGGTGACTAGTGACAGAGTGTGGAAGAGGGTGACTAGGGACAGAGGGGGTGATTAATGACAGAGTTAGGGAGGGGGTGACTAGTGACAGTGAGGGAGCGGGTGACAGTGACAGAGTTAGGGAGGGAGTGACTAGTGACAGTCACTCCCTCCCTCTGTCACTAGTCACTCCCTCCCTCTGTCACCAGTCATCCCCTCACTCTGTCACCAGTCACCCCTTCCCTCCCTCACTCTGCCACTAGTCACCCATTCCCTAACTCTGTCACTAGTCACCCCCTCTCCCTCCCTATGTCACTAGTCACCCCCACTCACTGTGTCTCCCCCTCACTCTGCCACCACTCAACCCCTCCCTCCCTCACTCTGCCACCTGTCACAACCTCCCACACTCTTCCACCTGTCACCTTCTCCCTCACACACTGTCACCTGTCACATATGCATTCACATGCATTCACATGCACAAGTGCATTCACACAGACTCAAATACAAACATGCATTGATACACAGGTCTTCACAATATACACATCCAAAGGAATGCTGTATTATGAGTTATATTTAACATTTATTTAATGCACATATATTTGGCCTTCAAAGGGCCTGGGATCTAATTTTGCCCGGGGGCCCCAAAGGCTCTCAGTCCGCCCCTGCACACAATCCGCACAAACGCAACACCACTAACAATCCACATATATTCACACAACTTCACATGCAGCCTCTCACATGCTATACCCCAAACAGCCCCCACACATACACACACTACCAAACACACAATGTGACATATCCATCCACGCACACACACAATTCCACAAGCTGCCCCCATACACATCCCACATTCATATGTATCATACACGATACCACAATCTACTCATGAACATATACAATATATTAGCTCATTTACGCACAAATACGATACAAAGCAATTACAGTATAAATAACACAAGCAGAATACGGCAGCATACACACCTCAATTTAAAAAAAAAAAAATAGGACCGGCACGCTACGGGACATCACAATTCCATATCGGCACAGTGCTGCTAAAAGGTTGCCTACCCCTGCTATATTAGATGATTCCAGATGTCACTGTAAGATACTATGCTCACATAGGGCAATATAGGCTGTGACCAATATTTTTTGTACAATTAAAACAATGATTTATTATATCCCACTCACATTTTTAAGAGGCTGTATGCAACTGCCTCAAGTAAATCAGCATAGGTGGGATGAAGCCATTCCTTGGATAGATCTTACAATGTAGTAACTTTCCAAAATAAGAGTAATAAACACCAAATAAAAATGTAATGTAATTTTTTAAATAATAACATAAAAATCTTACATACAAGTTAGTAAGGTATAGCATCAAGGTTATTTCCACATCTCATATAGCACAATGTGTTTCGACCAGGGTGCCTTCTTCAGGTGCATGTTAACAAAACAGAGTACTTATTACCACTTTAAAATGCTAAAAATCACTCCCAAAAGTGACTCGCAACCCGCCCCTTTCGGGCGTGTCGCATCACTTCCGGCTCTAATGTTCCGTCATGTCCGGTCATTTCAGATTTCCATTGGATGTTACTCTGTTTTCTCTGCTCCCTGACCTCAGCTTGTGTCTTCATATTCCGTCTCTCTATTTCCCTTTGACCTTGGCTTGCTTTGACTATTTATTTTGCATAGCCCGACCATTCTAAGGACCGGTATTGCAAATCTGTCTGTTGTGTCCGGTCTGTGTGTTAGGTTCCCTCCGAATCATGACACTTGTTTTGGCACAGTACTACTAAAAGGTTGCCTACCACTCATTTAGGATCACACACATGTTTTTCTCACCTTACATTGGTGTTATGTTACAGTGTTATTTGATATATAATGTGTCCTCTCATGACCCCTTACTTTCAACACTGAGTGTTCCGGATTCGTCGCAAACACTCAGTGCACCATATGGGTTCCAAGAGGGTCTTTTCAATTCCAAGCCGCTTTTCCTTTGTACCTAGTGTTCCGCTTATGCCGGCAACACTCGGTCACCCATATTGTGGTTGCTAGATTGAAGTTTAATCACCATCTTAAGGTTGGTAATAGAAGACTTTTCAGAAATAAGTCCTCACAGACGTTACTACTGCTGGATACACTCCGGCGGCCCTGTTGGGGTTGGTTTACTATCCAAAGCAACACAAACCATGTACAGATACTCCTCAATTATGGAGCGGGTTCCGTTCCTCTAACCTGGTCGTAGAACGAATTGGTTGGTAAGTGAGGAGTTAAGGGATTCCCTGCTCTGGTGCGCTTGTCTATGTTCGGGGAAATTTCCCCGAACATAGATTAGAGGGATTCCCTGCTCTAGTGCGCATGTCTGTGTTTTCCCCGAACATAGAAGAACGCAGCAGATCAGGGAATCCCTCTAATTCCCATGATGGCTTGCACTTACCACCCTGCGAGAGAGCTGGCTGTAAGTGCAAGCCATCGAAAAACAGGTAGGTTGCAAAACGAGGGCCACCTATATAGATACATATGGCAAAAAAATGAAGAAACAGCAAATTAAGATACATAATCTTTAAAAAAACAACTATATTTAATACAAATGCATATATACAGATATATTAAAAGCACGTGCACATATAAATTAAAAATATATAAAATAAATGGTCACCTGGTGGGCTAAACATAGATTTTGAGATCTATAACTACATTTAGCCCACCAGGTGACCAGTTCAAATATCCACCTTATTTCTGTCTTATTACATTTCTTAATAAAATATATCCCTCTTTATGATTTATTAACCATTTGAATCCCAATAAAATGTAAACATTTGGAACATACATTCTGAACTTGTGCTAAGGGGGCTGATACTGACATGCTCACTTATTCTGACTTTCAGTGGCCTCTACATATTCTCCCTTGATATTGTAGGCTACAATCGCATGTTAAGAGGTAGATGATGTTGTTGGTATTGCACATAATCAAGGAGTGAATATTCACTCGGTACAAAGGGAAAGCAGATTGGAATTGAAAAGATTCCCTTGGAACAAATAAGGCGCACTGAGTGTTTTTGGCAGAAGGTGTTGAAGGTAAGGGGTCACGGGTGGACAAAGATGGCATCTCAATGGAAATCCAAGATGACCGTACATGATGGAACATCAGCACTGGTTGTGATGTGACGCAGCTGAAAGGGGCTGGTCGTGAGTTATTTTTTGGCGCAATTTTTTGCATTTTAAAGTGAGTACTCTGTTTTGTTTACATGAACCTGAGAAAGACATCCTGGCCGAAACGCATTGTGTTATATGAGATGTGGAAATAACCTTATATGTAAGATTTTTATGTTATTATTCAATAAATTGATATTTTACATTTTAATTTGGTGCTTGTTACTCTTATTTTGGGAGGACACTACACTGGAAGATCTATCACAGGAATTGCTCCATCCCACCTATGCTGATTTACTTGGGGCAGTTGCATACAACCTCTAAAAATGTGAGTGGGATATAATAAAGCATTATTTTAAATGTACAAAAAATATTGGTCACAGACTATATTGCCCTATGTGAGCATTTTATCATTTTAACATCTGCAATTATCTTATACAGGGTATATATTTGCTTTCTGTGTTTATTAACTATCACATTATATACTGTTACGTGATTACTGGTTTTATACATCTTTGGTACACAAGAGTGCTGTCCTCTATTTTTTCCATTACTTGTTTTTGACACTTGTGAAATTCAGTGGTTGGATTTCATTATATATTCTAGCAGCGCTGATTTATTTGTGTTCAAATAGTGCCTATTATATCACATATTGTATTACTTTCTAATCTCTGTAATTTACTTGATAAAACTCTGTGTAAAGGTGAAACGTGTTGTGGATTATTTTTATACTTTTTTTTTATTTGTTTTTATTTTATTTTTTGTTCCTGGCACCCTTTGTTAAGTACTACTACTGACTCAAGAACATCTGATCATTGGTGAGGATTATACTATCAATGCTGAATACCTTGAGCAGTACAGCTGCTCAACTAAATGTGAGTACAGTGCCATTATCCTTTATTTATTAATTTACTACAACAGAGAGCCCTATATTGTATTTTCGCTTTGTTTGCTTACATGTACAAACGTTTGTGATTGAAGAAGTCATCTGAAGAAGACAAATGATGTCAGATTGGGCTTTCAGAGAGGAAAAAACACAAGAGTACAGATCTCCACTTCCTCCAAACTTCAAAAGGCGGCATGGCATCAGTACAGACTGTGAGAGAAGGAGAAGGGTCAATATGGCCTTAAAAGTGTTGGTAGTTATATCCAAGTTTTGGCTTCATTTAAGGTGAATGTGTATAACTTACTTGATGTAACCAACCCCAGAGCTCATCTGCTCTGCTGTAATGCATGCTATTTTAAATTATTTGCCTTACAGACGCCATTGGGGCCTATGTAACTGCATAAATCACATTTCTTTACAATGGGTTTGATGTTTTTTTGATTTGAAGAATTACTAATATTAAAAGCGATGAAACCCCATTGTACAGCTCTATGGAATTTGCTGGTGCTATATAAATAATATAATAATAATAATAATAATAATAATGGAAACCTAACCAGTAGGATCAGTTATAAGCCAGCCCAGAGATTTGAATGCATGTAATTTTTTTGAGCAACTGGGAATAGTTTTCTGAGGTTTGTTTTACAATGCTGAAAAGCGATGATGGCCAAATGTAGATCCCTTCATTGTTGCTGAGAGGAAGCTTTAATTGCAATTATGCAGCTGGGGATCTCTATTTTGAACACCCCTGAAAGATTATGGAACAAACCCCCTATGTTCTTCTGTATTTAGGGACTGTTATTAATAGCTAATGCTATTAGAAATTCTGTGGCCTCTTACACAGCTTAAGGTCTGTCTGTGT